ACGTCAAATTTGATGCTCAAAAATGTTATTGCAATGTTAATCGTTATCTTCTGTATTCTTAATTTTTGTTTTTTATTTCTCTCTCTCTCTCTCCCTTCCTCCCCCTCCATCCCTAATGGTGTTTTTTTTTGCGTCTTAGTGGCTTTATTGCTTTGTTTTTTTCTCGTAAGAAATTGAATGTAAATTTTCCAACTGACGACATTTTTCTGCATATTTTTTCTTCATAAAATGCTTAGACATCAAATTTAGAATTATAATTTAAATTTTCATGAAGGACACCCAAAGTAGACTTACAAATCCATATAAGCTAAACATAAAAGTAAAACTTTCTAAGTTCTTATTTAATTGCCCCTGCGACATATATATTCATATCTTATGGAAATCTATGACTAAGTGGAAAAAGCTTTCGTGTGACGTGTTTCTGAACTTTACTGGACCAAAGTGATGCTTATGTTGATGTATCGGCACGAAGGGGAGGAGCTACCGAAATTTTAAATTCAAATTTAATTAATTTTTTATATTTTTAAATATGGGTTTTGAGAATATAATCGAACTGATTTCATTTAGTTTCTTTGTCGTTTGTTTATTTCTATATTCACTAACATTTTATCATTAAATATCCCAAATTGTGATAATATAAATTTATAGAAATAAAATTGTTCTTTACATAAAAAAAATTACATATCGATTTCTTGTATTCGTATCTATCTATATAACACGCCTAAAATAATAAATGGCGGAGGCACGATAATGATTAACGTCTCGGTTTGAAGAATAAAAAATCAGTTAGTTATGTGCCATGCTTAGTCGATTATGTATTTTTTGATACATAACTGACGAGGCAGATTTTTTCCCCGCAGTATGCTGCTATTTCTTTCTGCGCTAGACTAGTTGCCATCCAAAGCTATAGAACACGGTCTGTCCTGCTATTTATCCATAGCTGGGGAGAAACAAAGAGGATTCATAACTTTCTCAAGGGTATTAGCACGTAAGTGAGTGTAATGGATTCGACTGGAATTCGAACTCGGCTATCCGATTCCTCAATCAAAACCGCTATCCATCGTCGAATTCCAATTGAGTTCATTGCATTTAATGACGTCCTCAGGAAAGAGATGAATCCTTCTCTTCTTTACAGTAAGTTTCACCCTGTACAATGTGACTCAGGCTTACGCTAAGGGGTAGTTTATATGGATAGGAGGGGGAAGATAATGGTTAACTTTAGACTTGTACAGGTTAAGTTTGTAGTGATCAGGAAACATCCTGTTGAGAGTCTGTTCCACAGAGCAGTGGTTCGTGGGAAGATGTTAAAATGGAACTTAGTTTTCACCAATGAAATACGAACGGAATGTGGATGGTTTGCTACAATGTGAGTGGCATGGCGGGTTCCAAGCCGTGAAGGTTAGATCTGGTGGAACCAAGAAATGTTGTTCATCCGAAAACTTTCCATAGCAGTAGAAAGTCGCCACATCCCACATCTGAGAGAGATGTTGGAGGGTGGAAAATAATTCTTCTCCAACAAGGCGCTTTTGAGCTCTATCAAAACTGGAAAGTGAGTTATGAACAGTACTCTATTTTCGGTATCATAAAGGTAGAGGATAACATGAGGAGTCAGGTACTTACTGGAGCGGTACAGGAAGTCGATCATTTTACCTGTCCATTTATGGATTGTATGTACGAGTTCCACTTGAGGTCAATATTCTCTCAAGTCACAGTACCTCCTCGATAGGACATCCGGTTATCGTGACTGGCGTTAGTTCCGGGCCCGATCGGTGGTGATGGAATGTAGCTATTGGAAAATAGCAGGATAGATTGGGTTCTGTAGCTTTGGCCGGAAAAGGGTCTAGGAGAAGGATAACTCTGAATTCAAACCTCCAACAATAAATAGGAGAGCATACAGGGCTTTTCAGCATTGGTTGGCAACCAGTCTAGGAGAAGGACAACTTTGAATTAAAAAATCTAGGCCTATCAAAGCACATACTATTCAGTTAAGGAAAGGATCGAGATCGTAACATTGACTCCTGACAGCAGTCAAGCTTGATTGATTGAAAATAATAAAGTAGATATATAAACTAACAAGCGGATCCTAGGCCTGTCCGATTGTTAAGAAAGTCTTCTTTTATGCAATACGTCCGTGATTATGGCCCTCCACAACTTTTTTTTTGCAACTCTTAATTTTTGTTCTTTTATCATCCCTCCCACTCCCTGGCCTGTCGTCCAATTTAACAAGCTCGTTAGGTAGGCTACTCGATGTTTCCCTCTGCTCCGTTTGTCCTGTGAATGTCAACTTCTCCAAGTCGTCTTTCCTCATTATGTATCCCAGAAATGTCATCTGTCTCTTTCAGATCCTAGGCAAAAGTGTCTTTTTGGTTTCCATTTTCCTTAAAACTTTCTCGTTGTTCACATTCTCCGCACATGATATTCTCATCACCCTTCTCCATAATCATGTCTCAAGTTCCTGTTTATTACGCAGGAAATTTTCCAACATTTACTGCTATATCCGAAGATTGATATTACACAGCAGTTCAGTTAGGTTGGCAGCAGGGTCACATTATTTTACAGTTAAATAGGCTAGATGTAACCGTAAGTTCTATGCTAACAGTTTCTTCTCTAGCACTTCTCGCTTGTGGAACTCTCTTCTGGTTACTTTCTTTCCAGCTAACTTTGTTCTTCAAAAATTTAAATTCAGTGTCAGTTGTTATCCACTGTCAGATAGTGGCGTGGGGCTTAAAATGAAGAGTTGATTTACCCACACCAAGAAGATTAATGAATATTACGGTTGCATATGGTCCGGTGCTCCTGATGTATATTTAGAGCGTCTTGATAAAATCAAAAAAAGAATCTGCAATATTAATGGTCCTAACCTGGTGTCTCGGCTTCAGTTACATTCGCAACGCCATAATATAGCTTCCCTGTGCCTTTTCTATAACTACTTTCATGGTAATTGTTTCGATGAACTCTTCGCTATGGTATTTTATGAATTTAAGCGCAGTACTAGATTAGCGACAAGATTTCATCAATTCACAGTTGAATTAGCGAGATGTAACTGTAAGTTCAAAACTAACAGTTTCTTTTCTGTATCTGTCTGTATTTCTGAGATGAGGTATTATGTACACTATTTACATTATTCGGACTATTGTCCTCATCTTTGTCGCCATATTTATTACAACGTTTCGGCCCTTCAGTATCTGTCTATATTTCTGAGATGAGGTATTATGTACACTATTTACATTATTCGGACTATTGTCCTCATCTTTGTCGCCATATTTATTACAACGTTTCGGCCTTTCAGTATCTGTCTATATTTCTGAGATTAGGTATTATGTACACTATTTACATTATTCGGACTATTGTACTCATCTTTGTCGCCATATTTATTACAACGTTTCGGCCTTTCAGTATCTGTCTATATTTCTGAGATGAGGTATTATGTACACTATTTATTATTCGGACTATTTCCTCATTTTTGTCGCCATATTTATTACAACGTTTCGGCCTTTATTATCCTATATTTCATTTTGTCTATTGTCCCATATATTTATTACAACGTTTCGGCCTTTCAGTATCTGTCTATATTTCTGAGATGAGGTATTATGTACACTATTTACATTATTCGGACTATTGTCCTCATCTTTGTCGCTATATTTATTACAATGTTTCAAGGACACCTTGCACAGTGAATAAAGGTGTTAGTTAGATCCAGTGACAGGACCCACAGTGTGTGAGTTCAATACCCAGTTAAGGCAGTGGAGAACTTGGAGAGGGGAATTAACAAGAGATCACTGATAACTGACATCCATTAAACATGGTACGTGGAACTCGAACAGTCTAACTCAGTGAGCGAAATAAAGGGTTCAGTTCGACATTCCAACCACCTGAAGAAGGCCGGAGCGTACAACAGTCGAAACGTTGTAATAAATATGGCGACAAAGATGAGGACAATAGTCCGAATAATGTAAATAGAGTTGTTTTTTTTCTCGCACTTCTTGCTTGTGGAACTCTCTTCTGTCTTCTGTCTTCAGTCAGCTTTGATCTTCAAAGATTTAAGTTCAATGTCAATCGTTATCTACTGTCTTCTTAATTATTCTTCTACGGTTCTCGCACCTTAATAATGTTTCTTTTTATTATTATTCTTTCACACTCAGTAACCCCTTGTGTCTTAGTAGCTTTACTGCCTTGTATGGGGTGAAATGATTTAAAAAAAAACATGGAGACGCATTGTTATACACACTGGCAGAGATACATGTGGATAGACTAGTGAACAAATATGATAGGCACACATGTAGATACACTGGTATACACCGATATAAACACATTGGTAGATGCACATGCCTATACACATCTAGATACGCTGGTAGACATATGTTGATCATTAGTAGATGTAGACACACTGTGAGACGCACATGTATGTACACTGATTGACAAATATGATATACACATTTAGACAAACTAGTGCACACGTATAAATACATTAGTAGAAGCACATATAGAGATATTAATAGGCACATATGTAAACGCACTGGTAGACACAAGTGTTTGTTATATGGGTAAATACATGTGTTTCCGCTGGTAGACACATTTTAACGCATTAGTGGGCGCACTTGGAAATACACACTAGGATGTAAATATAATGTAAACACATTTATGTGCACTGATAGACATACACGTAAGGACATTGTTGGACACAAATGTAAACAGGCAAACATGATATATACACATTTAGTGATTCGTTTTTTATGGTTTACCAACCCATTGCAGGTTATTTAAAGCCAGAAAATATTTTAAGGTTGTAAGAAGTTTTTGGAGATAATAATGATTTTGTGATACAAGTCTTACTAATTAACCCATTGCTTGTGGGAGAAGTGGATCCATACCTTTCCCAAGGGTATTTACGATTAAGTGATTATAGCGAACGAGACTGGAATTAGAACTCGGCACTTCGATTAACAATTCCGAGTTGTTGCCATTACACCACCCGCATATCCAAGCCTACAGCCCCTGGT